CTCCTGCCCTGCTCTATCGGTCTTGTCTTCACTATCGTCTCCCTCGTGCCTCCTTACCCAGACTTTCCGAGTCCCTCGCCTTCTTTCCATCCCATCTTCCTTAGCAGGTCTGACCCCTTGCTTTCTGCTAGAGGATCCTGTGGCTACATATTCGTGAGTAGGAGCAGGAGCAGAGAAGGCAGTAAGGAGGAGGAAGACGGAGAACAGAGCAAGAGGAGAGGACGAGGACAGAGATTGGGCGTGGAGGAGGCACACGAGTTGAGCGAGGAGGGGGAGGGTGTGGGGGAGGAGGAGGAGGAAGTTGAAACCTTGGTGCCGTGTCTTGCTGCCTCCACAGCCTCTCGCAGATGCTCCTCCTTCTCCTTCTCCTGCTCGCCTGTTCAGTGACTAGCTCCCGCGTCAACCTCCTCCTCGACCTCTCGTGCGAGCTCCGCGTACTTCCTTGCTTTTTCCTGCCTCAGTGCCTGAGCATTGCCGTCAGTCGCCTCCCCACCCCTGCTCCCCTCTCTTCTTCCTTCCCCTCCTCTTCCTGTCCTTCCTGTTCCATCCCACCATCGCCTTCCTCATATCCCTCCTCCTCTTCCTCCCCTCTCCCTCCTCCTCTCCCTCCCCCCTCCTCCTCTCCCTCCTCCCCTCTCCTTCACTTTCTCTCTGCGTCACCCACCTTCTTCTCCATGGCGTGCTGCTCTGCCATGACCTCCCTCTTGATCTTCTCGATCTCAACCTTCTTGTGCTCGGCCTGCAAGTCCGTCACGCCTGCTGCTCGACGACAGCTGGGCTCACAAGCTTCTGCCGGTGCATGTCCGACTGGTCCTCATGCTTCTTCAACTGCAGGGAGGAGGTGTAAAGTCAGAGCAGCGCAGGTTTCTCCTCCCTCCTGCTCCCAGCCAGAGATCTGCCCTTTCCTTGCATCCCCCCCCCCCTTCCCCTCCTCCTCCTCCTCCTCCACTTCCCTCCCGTCTCTCCACTCGTCCTCCCTCCCCTCTCCTCGTCCTCCTCTCCCTCGCCTCCGCTACCCCATCCTTCCATCTTGTCTGCCTCTACTTTGACACCCTCCAGAGCCTCCTCTCCTTCCTACCTGCTCAGCAGACCCGAACTTTCGCCTGCAAATGTAGCAAACGCCCGTCCCATTGGCGAGCACTGCTGAAATGTTCCCTCCTGGCCCAGTAGTTGGGGCTGCTGATGGGGCCTCCCCCGAGCTAGCTGCAACCTGCTCGAACGTCATGCGAGCTGCCTCCCAAACTCAATGGGTCGGACAGATGCTGACGCTGCCGCCGCCACTCCTCCTGCTCCTGCTCCTGCTCCTGCTCCTGCTCCTCCTTCTCCCTTTGGCAGGCCTCCCGAGATATCCGACCAGCCTCCTCCTCCCGATTCATCAGGGGGTTCAGACTCGTCTGTGCAACGTTGGAAGTTACATTGAGACTGGGAGAGGGAGGAGAGGAGAGAGGAGAGAGCCAGAGCAAAAGCCAGAGCAAGAGCCAGAGCAGGAGCAGGAGCAGGAGCCGGAGCCAGAGCCAGAGCATTAGCAGGAGCAGGAGCAGGAGCAGGAGCAGAGGCAGGGGCAGGAGCAGGAGCAGGAGCCAAAGCAAGAGCAAGAGGAGGTTGAACAAGGGGAGAGCAGAGTTTAGAAGTACCTGGATGATCTTGCTTGCTTTTCCATTTGTTCAGGTCCGCACCAACATTGATCTTCATGCCAGTGATGCCACTGAAACCAGCCCAAGTCAACTTCAGCTGCGCTCGCTGACCCTGACTCTCTTCCATGCCTCTCACTCCATCCTGCATCCCCTCCAACGATCGTCCCCGTCCACTCTGCATCACTCCCCATCCTCACTCGCCTCCTCCCACCCTGTCCGAACCTCTCTAGGTCATTGCTGCCAGTCCCTCCAGCCCTGTCCCCTCCACTTTCATCATCACCTGCCCTTCTTCTTCTTGTTCTTCTCCATCTTCTCCATCGCAGCTTGCGCGGCAGCTGGCAAGACCCTTCGTCACTCCTCCTCCTCCCCCTCCTCCTTCGCCTCTCCCTCCTCCTTCTCCTCCTTCTCCACTACCTGCTGCCTCCGCCGCCACTTGAGCCGCAGACTTCTCCGTCGATACCTGGCGGCCACAGGTCAGCACCGCCCCTCCCCACCATCCCATCCTCACGTTCGAGTTCTGCCCCCACGTTCCCTGGTGGCCCTCGATCTCCGCGTACTGCTGGGTCTCGAAGTCGAACTTGTAGTACTGGGACGGCAGGAGCGTGAGCAGCAGGGACGGGAAGGGCGACAAGCCTGCTCCCCCTCCTCCCCCTCCAGATCCCCCATGCCTTGGTCGACTCTGACCTTTTGAGCAGTCGGCTCGTAGTAGATGTTGGTAGAGGCGTCGAAGTAGTAGTTGGTCTGCCATGTTCGTCATCCCCGTGCTCAGCAGGCACCACCCCTCCTCACCTGTGCGTGATAGTACCACCCTGAGCTCTCGTCGTACACAAACCCAGCTGGGACGTTAGCTGGGGTGGGGAAGGCCTGCCAGAGCAGTTGAGGGCCCGCAAAGCACCCCTCGACTTCCCACCTGCCCGGACCCGATGGCCATGGCTTGCTCGACTGCAATGTTGCCCTGAAAGCGGATCTCCGTCAGCGCAAGGAGGAAGTAGAGTCCCCGCTCGCACCTGCCCGATGCCAGTCGCTGCATAGCCGGCATCGGCTACGTCCTTGGGTCGTGCATAGGAGACAGAGATGGAACTGGGAGGACGAGAGGTCAGGTGGCGGAGCAGGTGGCGGAGCAGTTGGAGGTTACCTCCCCATAATGAGAAGCCCCTGAGACGCATACTTGTAGACAGCCTGCATTGAGCGATTGTCACTGGCAATGGAAGGCTGGGGATCGTGGCGAGCACAATAGAGTAGCAGTACAAAGACATCAGAACAAAGATAACAACGGGAGCCGATCAAGTCACATTGCAAGGTGCTGTGTCATACCTGAGACGACAGGACGTTTCCATAGTCAACAAAACACATATTCTTGTCCGGGATGATCCTTATCTGCCGTTCAAGGGATGGTCCGAAGTCAAGCGGCATCGCACAGTTGTAACTGAGCGAGTGTAACGGTCCTTACCTCAGTGATCCTGGGCGGCCATTGCGACATAGCGATCCTGATGTGATAATCCGTCGTTTGCGGCGCCAGTCCTCGCCTGAGCCCGCATCAGTTCCGCCCGTGTACCTTCCCATGAAGCGACTCACAAGAGCAGGATCGAGCTCGGCTTCTCGACCATCTCTGCCATCCCCGAGGCCTGCGAGCTGTGAGTCAACAAGGGAGCCACTGTCCTGTCAAGGTCTCACGTTCATGGCAGGAATCTGCGAGAGCGGGAGCTCGTTCCCATCCCGCGGCAGCGAGCACCTGGTACGCTGCTCAGCTCGAGAGGACGAGACAGTCTGCACCGTACGTGAAGCACACGTTCCGCCTTGCGAAGTTCATCGTGTTGCACGATGCACAGATCCAATCCTGTTTGGCATTCGCCGCGTTGGAGTTGTCTTGCCTCGACGTGTCTCTGCTGAACTCGATCCGTGCCTGCATCCAAAACTTCAAACGAGTCCACCGCGCCCGGCCACCTCCGGCCTACCTGAACTCCCTGTATGAAGATGCATCCACGAAGGGTGTCCATCACCTCCTCCGCAGTCTGCAGCGTATCCATGTCCACAAACGCGAGTCCCCTGCAAACAGCATCTCAGGGAGGACAAGGAGCGTGATCCTTGTTCCGACGCTCACCTGGACTCCCCAGTGTTGCGGTCCTTGGCAATCCGGACGCTGGTCGGGACGGTGAACTTAGCCAGCGCTTGACGGACATCTGATATAACCCCAAACAATCCACAAATCGACTCAGCCCAGTAACAAAGTCTTCATTCGAGCAGAGAGAGTTTAGACCGTCTTCAGTTGTTGCATAACTCAGGCCTCGCAGGACAAGCGTTCTGTTGGGCTCGATGTTCTCCCGTGGCCTCTCCCGCTGGAAGCTAACCGCCGCAACGAAAAGCAACGAATCAGACAACACTGGATACTCCTCCAAGGGATGTGGGAGGATACTCTTCATCGCGGTGTCTCTTCCGAGGCGGCTCGTCCATGTACAGTTTGGGCTCACGCAGGTTGTCCCTGAGTTCATCGAGTAACATGTCAGGAACACCATCACGACAGGATGACACAACTAGATAGTCTTCACACCAACTTCACGTCTACCGGATCTTCACTATACCCCACTCCAACACCAACTTCACATCTACTTGCACTTCACTTTTCCCAATCACCTCGGGTAGCGCTCTCTGGACCGGCCGTACGAACGATCCCGGGACCAAGATCTGGATCTCGAGGACCAGGACCTTGACCTTGACCTTGACCTTGACCTTGACCTTGACCTCGACCTCCTCGTCCTCTCCGGCGATCTCCGTGTAGGAGAGGGTCGTCGATTCTCTGCGAGGATGAACTGAAAGGCAGCCAGCCATAGCTCAACCCACCTCGGGCATAACGCAAGTCGCGCCTATCGTCGAAGTCCCTGTACCTCCGCCCGCTTGCTTCTTGGTTGTTGAAGTCTCCGCCTAGGGGGACACGTATGAGGATCAGATCAATCGTGCAAGTTAACAGAGTGCGAGCTGCTGCTGGCGCTTGCAGACGGATCAACGTAGCAACGAGGAGTACCGAAATCGCTGTCATGAAATCCAGCGCGGCCACCGTCCCCGTAGTACGCCATTGAAAAATCTTGGCTCTAGTGGGTCGTTCTCATGAATTCTAATTGTCCAAGAAAAGTCAGAGTATCCCCGGCATGAGATCGGGGAATAGATGGACAAAGATATTGTATCACACAAACAAGATCGCTATCGTGGACAATCTCGAACAGTGCAACACCCTTGCGCAATGTATGCTAATCCATAGTCATGTAAATCCACCAGAGCTAATGTCTTCTAATTCTCTCGATCTGCACAACCATATGAAGAGGATTCTACTTTCCACTATAACATGGGCCCTGTTGAACATCGGCAGGAGAGCAAGGTGCCATGGACCTTTTTCCTCGTCACTTCAATGATACCAGCTCATTGTCAACTGCACCATTCACAACTTATGCTTCTCCTTTCTCCTTATCTTTCATCTCCTCCTCCTCCTCCTCCTCCTCCTCCTCCTCCTCCTCCCTTCCCTCTCTCTCCCCTGCCGCCTCGCATGCCTGCAGAGTTGAAGCAGGAATTCTTTTGGTACAAATTACAGAGTTTTAAAACTTTTGTTTACATGTACAGAGGTACAAATCATAAAATATATATGGCTGTAACGAAGAGCCCCTAAAAGTGATATATATCGTTCAAATTCTCAGACTATCAGGTACTCTGTAGCTAATTTCTCGACACTACGGGATCAATTGTAATATTCTAAAATATTGCTGTCGTGATTTTTTGTTTAAAACAAATATTTACTGAATTTAGTGTACATTTTGTACCAATGCATTATATGTAATGGTGATTTTAGTACTATGCCATGATGTTGCCAACTTGCAAGTTGAGCAGCTGCAATCGGCGCCGCCGAGCCGGCGTTCCAGACTGAGTTAGTGACTAACGCGGCCGCCCGGCCGTGCCGACCGGGCCCGGTGACCAAGCCGCCGCCGCTGAATGCCCGGCGACCTGGCGCAATCGCGGCCCGGCCAGCTGCACTCCCGCCGCCCCGAGACCTCCTGTCAGTGGCCCGGGTCGCCTCGGAGAGCTTGGCCCTCAGGAGCTGCCGTCTCGCTGGTACGGATCAGATCAGCCGCGCGATTCACGACTCATGATCGGATCCATACTGGATGATGGCCCGGCACAGGCGGCCGCTGAGACGGGCGGTGACTCACTGCCGCCGTGCGGCCTGCGCAGAACTTCTCCAGGCTAGACCACCGAACTGGCAGCCACAAACAAACACAATCACACACGCTGAGAGCGCTTGACTCGCCACTTAGAAACATTCTTGTTAGCTGAGCAGGGCCTGCCCTCTCTAACGAATCAATAAAGCTCTGCCGCTACCGTGAGCCTTCTCGGGCCGCGCGGTCATTCAACTTGTCCCACAGAAGACCTTCGCATCCTGAGACGCTTCAGGCTCCTCCCCTAACACTTCACGCAGCGATTCAAGTCCGTTGCCTGCACATTCCGCATCATCTGGTGCTGCTGGGATGGGAGGCCGCCTGACCTCTAATGGGTCTGATTCCCCTCCCCCGGGCACCGCAGCACTGCTGGACATCAGCCGGATCAGTTCAACCGCTCGTCACGAGTCGATCCTACTTCTCTCGTATCCCCTGAGCCTCCTCCTCGACATTCCCAGCATCCCCTCCTGCATCCACCACCTAGCAGCCGTGCATCAGCGACCTGCGACCCTGAAAGCTGCTCCTCACCTCCTCCCTCTGTTCTTCAGACGAGACTGAAGGCCCATCAGCCTGAGCTCCTCCTATCTGGAGCCATTCGTGGGTTAACATCTTTGCCGCCGTCGCTCTCTGTCATCCCAGACGTCAGTGGAAACTCTTGCCTCCGTCTCCGCTGACCTTGGACGTGTCAAACTCCAGCATAGGGATGAGGAAGTCGGTCAGAGCCCTGGCCTGCGAGCAGATGCTGTGAGGAGGAGGCGAAGAGCAAGAACAGGGCAAGGAAGTACTCACTTCGTCTGCGTGCATCCGGTACTTGTCAACCAACACCGACGTGAGATCCCAGAACTTGAGCCTGCGCGGGGAGGAGGGAGGCGTCAGCTACTCGATCCAGCAAGGCATGAGAGACAAGAGGAGTACTTGCGAATGTTTCGTAGTTCGCCCTTCCGATTGAAGAGCTCAAGGGAGAATTTCCCACCCAGGGCGATCACCTGAAGTCAAACAAAATGAGAGATCGTCGTCCGGGCAGATTTTAACGTTTCGATTTTCTCGCCCCCTTCGCAATTCCTCCTCCATTGCACTCCTCTCCCTTTCCGCCTCTAATTCCACACTTTCTGCAAACTTTCCCCTCCCTCCATCCCTCCCTTCCTCTCCCTCCAACAATCCTCTCCTTGTTTCCCTCTTATCCCAGCCCATACCTTGGGCATCCTTCCCAACAGCTCCTGCATTTGCGCAAGATGGTCTGCACAGCATCCAGTCAAACATAACAACGTCGGCGCACAGCCAAGATATTTCACCCCACCTTCATCGCGGTCATACCCGTCACCCTCGTGGGGATCAAAGAGCAGGTCACCAGTAACGAGCTCAAAGACCTAGATACAACAAACATATCAAAACTTTCATGCGCATTCTGCAACAAGATACCATGCAAGCAAGGCTCCACATGTCAGCAGAAGTGTCATATTTAGCCCCGATGATGACCTGGAAACAACACAGTCATCAACGACAGCCTGAACCCTCGCCGCCTTCATCAGCATGATTACCTCAGGAGCGCGGTATTGTCTTGTTTGGATGTCCTCGGTGAAATGCTTGTATGTGTAGCACGCGTTACCCAAGTCCACAACCTGAAAAAACGAGCTCAGAGACAAGAATCTGTGAATATCCGCTGGTCACCTTGGCTCCAATGTTTGGGCCTGTCTGAAACAAAGCACCCAGTCCTTCCCGCAGCAAATCAGAACGAGCAGAAGAATGAATCAAGGCGGACCTGGCGGGTAGTTCCTTTCCTTCCTGGGCGCACGAACATTTCCTTTCCCTTCCTCGTCCTGATCTTGCGCGTCTCCGGCAATCTCTTCATTTGTTGCTTCTTTACGCTCGCTGGCATCATCATCCCCAGTTGATGCAGCATTATCATTCTCCCCTGCTACACTTGCAGCAGCAGCAGCGGCGGCGGCGGCCTTGGCTGCTTTTTTCTTTTTCTCCCTTAATCTTTTCTTTTGATTCTTTGTAAGTGGAACATCTGCAGCTTTAAGGTCTATGTGTCAGGACATCTTGCACGCCACTCATCGAGCCAATCCTTACCTGCCTTGGCGACGCATTCCTTGGCTTCCTCTTCCAGATCGTCTGAGAACTCGCCATCCACGGGACAGAGAAGGACGTTCTCCGGCTTGAGATCTGTGTGAATGATGCTACACTTGGAATGGAGAAAGTCTAGCCCCATGAGAACTTGTCTGGTGATGGACTTCACCATGTCCATCGGAATTCCCCGGTAGTTGTAGTGCTTGATCAAAGCAAGCAGGTTCGGACCCATCGGCTCGAACAGCATGCACATGTGTGTACCGTTGGGCCCGGTGTGCTTGAACGAGTCATACAGCTGGACAACATGGTCTGACCCGGCCCCGGGAGTCTTGGTGACTTTGTTGAGGAACCGTATCTCGTCCAGCGCCGCCTCCGTGTAGTGCGAGGCGCTCTTCTGAACCTTCAGCGCCACCTGCACCTTCCGCTTGCGATCCCACGCACACCAGACAGTTGAGAAGTGCCCCCACCCAAGTTTCCGGATCACTACGATGTTATTGTTGTACACCTCACCTACCCTGACAGGATGGTAACCTCCTTTCTTGTACCCGCTCTTCCCCTCATCCTCGTCCTCATCAAAGTCCTGGGTGTCCTCCGACTCACTGCTATTGTCGACATCGTTCGTGTCTGAATCGTCCTGGTTTGAGTTGACTATTCCATCTATACACTCAGCCTGCTGCTCTGCCGGGTTGCTAGGGTCATCTTCATTGATGCTCAGGGCGTCAAGGCCTGAAGTCAGCCCTTCGGCCCTGGCGTTCTCTTCGCTGTCCGCTGCCTTCACCATGGAGCTCTCGAGCTCTGTATCTGATCTAGACAGCTTCGAGGATCCTTCCTCTCCACCATCGTTCGCACTCGACGGATCTGCTGTCAGCGAGCTTGTGTTGCTAGATGCTTCTCCACGGGCTTCGTCTGTTGATGCTGCAGGATTGTCCTTGGACATCCTGGAACAAGGCCTCCGCCCGATGCAGCAGCACCAGCTAGCTACCCAGCGTTGATGAAGGTCAGAGCCACCAGCTGACCACCTAAGGAGAGCGATCACACACCGGGCACCGCCAGAAGCATGCTGCTTCTGCTACCGTCATACTTCTTGCGAGTACGTTCCTTGTTTGTTTCCCTCGCTTTCTAGCGCCTACTGTCGGAATAACAACAGCTTCTCTAATAAAATTATCTCCAACTATTTCCGCATGAAACCAATCTGAAGCTAGCCTCTGACTAGCCAGGAGCAGTACATAGTTTCAACACACAGCCTTCCTGCCTTTCGACTCAAGGAAAAACATCTCTATCCTCTCTGACGCTTGAATGCCGCCCCCTCCCCCGCCATCTCTCCACACTGCACAACAACGAGCAAACAGTGTGGCTGAAATTCATTTGTATCCTTTGATCGTTTCTCCAGCGCAGCTATCCCTCGTTTTCTCATGCTAATCACAATGCCTCCCTCCTCTCTCCCAACAGGAAACATCCCCCCGACCCCCCTCTCCCATCATTCTTCCCTCTCTCCTCCTCCTCATCTCCATTTTCCTCCCTTGCCTCCTGCTTCGCCCCTCCCCCCCCGGCCTCCTCCATCCTGCCGCTCCCTCACACCCGTGAGCATGTAGTACAGAGCTCCCATCACGCAATGTCGGGACCACCCCTACCCCCCACTTTGACTGTCTTGAACCCGTGCTGTCTCTGTACCCTTGCACTTAACAGTACCCTACCCATCTTATTCCCCTCCACTTCTAGCTTCTCCCACCCTACCCCCTTTTACTAGTACCCCTACTCTTGATGAAGATCACACTACCCACCCCAAAGATTCCTAAAAAGCAGGTACCCGACCTAGACAAGTCCCTTTGGTTGAGGACCCTACCCTCAATTCAAGACCCTGCCCGTGTACAACATTTCACTTGCCCTTGGTTCTTGCCAGCATTACCACAATTTTCAAATATTCAACTCTTCAACTACTATTTTAAAAAAATACATAATATTTTCAACTGCTGTGATTAAAATTGTCAAATGTATCGACCCACCCCCTACCTCCAAGTTAAACTATAGTCATCTTTACCCCAGGCAGCTGAATTCTAGAACTTTACGACCACCCCACCCTCTTGAATTGGTAGAGACCCCATAAAATCTCTCTTAAAAAACCCACCCTCGAATCGACCATTGGAGATCCACCCATCATCCGCTAGTCCTCTCACAACTTGCACCCCCTTATCCTAGTACAAAGAGCACCCACCAACCCTTTGAATAATAGTCCCCATGATCCACCACCCCTCTTCCAACACTACCCACCCACCCACATACCACCCACCCTCCTCAAGTCCAACCAAACACGTGATCAGCTCCCGAGGGTCCTTCACACACTGAGGCGGGCCGTGACTCATCAATCCCACAACCCGGGAGATGACCGGACTGAGGCCGGGGAACCTTATTTCAAGTTTTAAACCCCGCCATGGCCACGAGTCCACCTCCGTCCGCGCCCGCCGTGGAATGAGAGTGAGGGGGGGGGGGGGGGGGGGGGGGGGGAAAGCCGGGGGGGGGGGGGGGGGGGGAGGGGGGAAAAAGAGAGGGGGGGGGGGGGGGCCTCAAACTGGGGGGGGGGGGGGGGGGGTTGGATGGGGACGGGGGGGGGGAGGGTTCCGCTCCCGACTTAGACCTGGGGGGGATGGGGGT